ATTTTAAACAAAGGCAAATATATGCATATATACATGTGTGTTAGTGTCTGTGTATGTGTCCCCGTTAAAGATATTCAGAGGTTCTGAAAAGATAAGCTTATTGATTGGGGACAGCATTTATTAATATGTACAAGTTCTAATATTGATATTTATTATTCTAATCACACTAGTTTTCACTAAGATAATCAGTTCTGAACATCAGAAAATAGTTCTAATTGTCTTAATAAAATTGGTTCACGAGTTATTTCAATTCTTTTGCCCTTGTGTTGCAGTTGCAGGATGTGAGTTTGAATCTATGGAACGTCTACAGCAAGATGGATCCTATGTCTCTGGATAATTTGCTTTCAGAAGTAAGGAGCCAAACTGTAACTTACAAACTACGGCCAGTTCAGTTATCCACTAAGGATATTTAACTTGAAGAAATACAAGATATATCTTAGTTAGCTTTAGTCAAAGAATAGAACGGTGTCTTCCTTGATCGTTGTCTCTAAACTCCTTGGGGTAGGAGGGAGCCTGGAAAAGTGACGTTTCCTCTTCCGCTCTGAGGAAGCCTCTGTTTGAGGCAAGACCAAGGCCCCCTGCCTGCTTCAGGGTTTAGGTTTTCACCTAAAGATGTTCTTTCTGTTGGATTAGACTCTAGGAGGAAAAAAAAATGTAGAGAGTGTCTTCTTGCACTGTTTCTATGGAGCAGTATAAAAAGATAAAAAAGATGGGGTATGGCTTATAGGAATCAAGAATTAGAGCAGGGTTCAGCAGACTTTTTCTGTAAAGAGCTAGATAGCAATATTTTAGGCTTGTGTGCCATATGGTCTCTGCTGCAGCCACTCAACAAGGCCATTGTAGTTCGAAAGCAGCAGTAGACAGTGCTTAAGCAAATGAGTGTGTCTGTGTGTCCAGAAAACCTTATTTACAAAAATAGGTGGTGAACCCACAACCATAATGTGCCAACTCCAGGATTAGAGGGTCAGGCATTAATTGTTCATCTGAACTTTGAAGAAAAATTTGGTGGTGTGGGGGAGCTCTTGGCAATGAGGAGCAACAAGCAAAACTAAAGCAACAGAAATAGGTTCTGGTTAAGCAGCTCCATGGTGCCTCCCAGTGGCCATGGGTGGGTCTGCATAGTCACGGACTTGAGAATTTAATGTGTTCGACTTCTTAAAAATTAATCAAGGTTTACCTGCTGAATCCCCTGTCATGTGTCACTTTAGAGTAGGTAGCATTTACTGACATTTTTTATAACCAGCTATAGTCCCCAAAGAAAGATGCCTACAACGGATCCACTGGGAAGGTGCAAGAAGAAAATGTCTATATACAGGTAATCCCCAGTTTCCAACGTATTTGAGTTACGACGAACTGCACTTAGGACTGTCTGTTGGGTTTTTTTATTTTTTACATCTTATCGTTAGTGACATGTACTACATACAATGTTAAAATATATCTAAGTTTGCATGTAATGTTTCCAACCCCCAAAGACAAAGATCGGTAAAGATACTGATAATAAAAGGCAATAATAATGAAAACTAAACAAAAACAATAAGGTATTCAACTTACGTCAGAATGACCTTTAGCGGAGTTGGGGACTACCTGTGTGTTTATTTTTATCTTAGTAAAGAAAGAAACTAAGCTTTGTTGATGTTTCTAACACAGACTAATGCTGACATCTTGGCTCAGTCCACATGTGGATGGTCACATGTCATGTACTGTGCCTGATCCCCAGGGAGGGAGGGGTTTCCAGCAGTAACCTTCCCTCATCTTTTTGTGTTGGGCGTAATGTAGTACAAGTCTTGTGATTTGCATGCTGCAGGATGGCTGTAATGTGGTTAATTTTCTAAGAAAAGATGCTTGAAATAGTGGAGAATGACCATAAAAATCTTTTATACTGCTCAGATCTTCAATGATTGCCTCATGGCAAAGTAAAGAAGTATATGTATATATAATTTGTAAATAAGAATTCATATATTGAGGATGCTGCTGAAACATTTTTACTAATAATGGTGTATGATAAGAGAAATTAGAGAATACCTACAACTTTCACCCAAGGATTTTAGTGCTCTTTGACAATCCTTTCTGATAAATTATTATGTTATGGGTTGCAAATTATGATTTTCCAATACTGTTATTCCTTCTGCATGTTTTAGCTATCATTACTTTGTAAAGAAGAGCACTTCTTTCCTTCCTTCTTCCTTTCCTCTCCCTTCTTTTCTCTATTTTTAAGTATCGTTATGGACTCATTTTTTCAAAAACAATTCAGTGTGTTATAATCCATTACCATCATTATTCTTTTTGATGCTCAAATTGCCCCATGTTTGTTCAGTGGGAACCCCTTCAGGCTGCCTCTGCCTCCTTTTGACATGTATCCATCAATCTTTGAGCACTTCCAGGAATATATCTTGGATGATATTTGTCCAAGTCATCTAGTGCTGCTATAACAGAAATACCACAAGTGGATGGCTTT